AAAAATCGACGCGTTTCAAAAAGGCGGGGCATAGAGGAGAAACAATAATGTACAGTATGTGGAAAATAATGTTTTTTAAACTTTAAACCGCATAAACACATTTCATTACACCAAATACACAAAATAATGTTCTTTTTAGCAGCATCATATGACCCCTTTAAAAAGTATGGTAGCTAAAATCATAATAAAGCTCCCAAAAAGTTAAAAACAAAGCAGTTTTATGATATTAGGGTAATTTTCATAAAGGAGATGCCATGGTAATACTAATTTGTTTGTTATGGTATCATGGTTAAATATGTATGTATGCATGCATGTATGTATTTGCAGAATAGATACCATAGTAATACCATGTTTTTGTACATGTACCATAATAAGTAAAAACCTTTAGTTGCTTTGAAACTGTATGAGTTATTTAAAAAAAAAAGCCTATACAAATAAATTCAGTTGTTCTGAATCTTAGAGAGAATACCATGAATATACAGTAGTAATCATTCAGTACCATTGTATTATCATCTGAAACCATCCCTGTGTTTGTTTTTATTAGAGTTTATTGCATTGAGTAATGTGTACATCACAGCATCCCTTTGTTCTCCCTGTTTGTTCTACAAGCCCACAAATGAGCTGAAATATCCTGAGGAAACTGCAAAGTGTTTTGACCTTCATATGACAAATAGATTTGAGTCATGCCTTTCTTTTAAATCTTTACTTTCTTTGACATTTGTTTCTGCCTGATAACGTAGCTAAAAGCCCAAGATTTAATCTCCATTGTCCTTTCACAAATCCTTAATGAGAGGCATCGCAGTATGCATAATTAACCGGGGAACTGAACACCGGCTTTCTCAAGAAAATCATAGAATTATCAAACTCGGCTAAGTGGAAAACAATGCAGGAGGAACAGAGCAACAACAAACAACATCTTGAATAGACTTTCATATTCATATATCCACCCCGGCTTGTTTCCACTACTCACGCAGCGTGCAGCTGAAAGCCAAACCGAAAAGAAATATCCATTTAGTCTGTGGACACAAACATCTTTCTTCCCATTACTTTTATTTATTTTCCTGTTGATGCGAGAGTGATACAACTGTGAAAGGACACAGTGATGACAGGCCATTCCCATCCATAAATGCACTGTTTTCACCGTGCAAGCCGCCTCTCTCCACTTTGATAGCCGTTTCCTCGGCTTGTGTCTCAGATTGCATGTGTCACTGACTCTATTGCAGTTTCTAGTCATTCCAGGGCACTCACACGACTTCAATCGTGATGAAGATCAATATGTATTGCATGTTCCAGGCACTTACGGGCTGCCCTGATGCTCCGCAACTCATTCTGCTCCAGTTAGTCAGAGCAGTCACGAAGTTCAGCGTAGCTCA